TATTTTTATTGTGGCATACCTGAGATTCCTTTTGCTTTCCTTTGCTATAACTTTTTATTAATAAAAATATATACACGGAAATTATAACAGTTATGTTATTGTCAAACATTTTCTGTTAAATTAACATTTTGCTCGATATACCAACAAAAAAATAATATTTCATTGTTAAAAAAATAATAAAAAATAAATACAATTCTTCTAAAAAATATTTAATACCTTAATTTTTTTTATCATTAAATTAAAATATTAAATTATTTAATAAAAGAGTATAATTGAGATAACGATTTTTAAAAAATAAAGAAAACATCAATTTGTTTACAAATTTCAAATTTGTTAATTTTGAACATAATGATTAATGAGGAGGATGCATATGCTGAGATCGACGCTTGCCTGCGATCCCACTGTGACCGTTCCGATTCCAATGTTGGCAGTCTTTGGAGTCGTCTGACACGTCTCATTTTGCTTCTCCTTCTGCTTGGCTGAGTCGCCGGCCTTTGGTGTTTTCCCGGGTGTCGCACTAGTATTATTAACGTTGTCATAGAGAGACGCGCTGGATGTGGCCGCTGTTATCTTGTCTCGTCCCGGCGTCATGTCCATTTCCGTGGATCGTCCTATGGTCCGTGGAAGTGTAGATGGCCCTAAAATAGCATGGCCAAATTATAAATTATAATATAATTAATAAAATCATATTAATTTATGTTGCTATTATTTATTTGACAAAATTTTTCAAAAATATTAAAGTGTTCTATCTGTCAAAATCATACATACTGTAAAACAAGTATGTAAAATTACATAAATAATATGTGCAAAAATTATGCAATTTATAGAGAAAATATATAAAATTGTGCGTTTTTATAAAAAATAAAACTTTTATCTCTAATTTTATTATAATATAAATATAACTTTATATTATATAGAAAATTACACAAAAATAATAACATATTTTATAGTTTTTAAAATGTGTAATTTTTACAATATTTGTGATAATATAATGTGATGATATTATCATATATATTATCATATATATTTACATTTTACGTTTGTACATATCGATAACATAGTTTAAAAAATTGTACATAATTTATAATTATGTACCCAAGCAGAACAACAAGTCATTATAATATCAGAATGACATCAAAATGATTCCAAAATGATCATCAAAAATCATTTTTTAATCATTTCCGATTCATTTTGACGTTATTGACGTTATTGACTTGTTGTTCTACTTGGGTAAATATTTCCATAAATTTCAATTGTAATAAATTTATTTTTGAAAATTGTTTAATTACTATAAAAAAGAATAATTTGATTTGTACATAAATTGTAACTTTACATTCATGTAAATGTATATATGTAAATACACAAATAATCTTTAATAGTGGGTCCTAAAATTACTCAATATAATCGTACTCAATATAATTTTACATGAAAATGTTTTACAGTATATGCATTATAATGAAAAATAATGAAAGAAAAAAATACATTTTATAATTATTTCATTCCAAATAATATAGAAATGAATATAAAAAGAAACGTAATATAAATATATAAATTATATATTATAAATATAAAAAAATATTTCATAATCGCACGTACCGCATGGACTTCGGTATCTGGTATCTTGGCTGCGCAGTCGGGCATATTGTTCCGGCGTCATACAGGTACACTGAGGTTCCCTGGATCGGCTCGGTGAGGCCGGTGTCGATAGCGGCTTTCGGCGTGTTTTGATCTTCTGCTTGTTCGGTGGCTCGAGCTTCAACGAGTAAGAAGAGGACGCTTTCCTTGAAATCTTGAACGATGGTGACTGTATGGAAAATTAACTAGTGACTGCAAATGACCTAAGAAATCGAATGGGACTTGTATCGGACTTGTTGTGTGTCGCCCCTAAAAGTATCCCCCTAAAATATCTCCGCTCAACTTCCTTGCGCGCGACCCGGAAAGGAGAAAGGAAATAGGCGGAGAGACGCGCTGAGAGAGTGATAGCGAACAGGATTGTGGCGATGATGTATAATGTAACAAAATGCGTGTCTCAAGTGTAACATCACTAAACTTACGCAGCATTCTCTGAATTGCTTTGCGTCTATGGGAGACGTAAAGTTCAGCCCCCACGTATCATTTGTCACTGTATCCTTCCAGTAGACAAAGCACTCCGATGCTTGACCGATACGCGTACCTTAAACACAATTATTATCATATTAATTATTGCAAGATTTATTCGTATTAAACTCCACAATTCTTGCCACCTTCAATTGCTGTGATATTATTCTGAAAGTAAAGTCAGTTTGCGAAGATAGATACATTTTTGCAATATTTTTTTTACGTTGTTGTTCTTCCTTCTATAAAGAATCGAGATTTAATTAGAGTATCTTAAAATACATGTTGTAATTATGGCTCACCTGGCTGGACCAACCGGACGTCTAGAATCTTATCGACCTGGCTATTGTACGCGGTGATATGGAAGACGCATTCCGGCGAGTCTTGGATGCAGGTGATGTTCACCGGGACCAAATCCTCGGACACCTGCTGCCATTTGCTTCCACCCCCGCTCGAGTTTACATGGAACACTTCGGCCCACAGCCTAAAAACTCTCGTCATTACATCGTGTATTACGCCAACACAATTTTTCAAACATCGATACACTTAAGGAAAGTTCTAAGGAAAGAAAATAGTAGAGCAGGCGTGACACAAAAATGAGAAAAGAAACATAAGAATGGTCCATATAATCTAGAGTATTCGATTTTTCGCTATATATCTTTATCGATAGTCGATACTACGTTGAAATTGCATAAAAATATTTCCGTATGACGTCGGTCGTTTTATTTTCAAACGGATAAAATAGAAATCATCACATGCGTCGGTGGAAAATCACATATATATTATGTGCATGCTACATCTGCATTTACCGCGTAAACGTCGAGCTTTTTCTGTATTAAAATTACACGATCCGTAGATATTTATTTTTAATTCCGAAGAAACGATATCCATTGAATTTTGTACATCAAACCAATGGACAAGAAGGTATGATGTGATACTAAAAATACTAATAATCATGCGAAGCGTACGTGTACAGGTGAAGTGTATAAAAGTAGATAATATATATAAAAATACGTAAAAGTGTGCATTTGAGAAGTATAAAAACGAGAAGTATAAAAATTTAAAAACAATGTGGCCAGGGAAAAAGTATTCAAGGCATAATTTTTTTTTTCATCAAATGAAATCCAGGCTAGTAGCACAAGGCAAAAATAGCAGAAAAAGAACAGTTACTTCTGTTATCGAAACGTAAAGCGCGGTTTTCTTAGTGCATATTATTTCTCAAAAGTCCGTTCAGGAATATAAAAGAGAATGTATCGAGATCGCACCAATATTATGTAACTTAATCAAGCATATCACGATCCGAATAAGAAAAACGGGCTATCGGCCATGATAAATGAACTATCAGCTCGAACAACTGGACAAAAAACAAAAGAGACAAACAAAAGGAAGGTGAGGATCAAAGACATAAGCACCGTCAAATAAGACAGCTAGAAGAAAGCACAATGAGAGAGATAAAATTAGAAAAAAAGGAATTTAATAAAGAAAATATGAGACAGTCTGGGTGATATGAATAAAACGCAACATCTGATGCGACGTTCAGCTGCAAAGATATATAGCTTCTCACTGTGCTACGAAATAATATATCAAGTACGGATCTTTGTATACTGCATTTTTTAATAAATGCTTCAGAGCACTTGCTAAAATAAAATCAATAATCATTAGAATAACATTGCACTGTTAAAAATGTCATAAAATTTAATGTACTTTTAAGTTACATAAATTAAATTCAATTAAATTTTGTGACACTAAATTAAATTTAATGTATTTGCAACTGAAAAGTATATTTGTGTACATGTACATAAAATTTAGTGTTTTTATAAAATTTCACGATGTTTAATATTTTTTATTAAATTTTATGTAGATTTGCATAAAATTTAATGTAAGTAAATGTTAAATTTAAGTTACTAATAACTTTATTTTTATTGACAACATTAAATATTTTTAATGTATCTACCGTTACATGTAACGGAAGCAAATTTCTGTTTTTTTAATAGCGATAAAATGTACTAATTGTATTTGAAAAATTCAAATTAAGCTCTCGTGAAACTATTTTCTTAAACAAAATAAATTTTTCTTAATGCTACATACATTAGCTTTCTCTATATTGACAGAGAAGTAAATGTTTAATTGAAGATTCTAAAAAGAGACATCGGTACATAAATGGAAACTCATTAATTTTAATCGTGTGAACGTCATCTTATCGCGTGACTTTTTAACTGCTTAAATTGTTATCAGACAATAAAAATGTAATCATACAATAATAGCACTATCTTTTTTAATAAATTTATACATTTAATAAATTATTATCTATGGAAAAAAAATTTTATTCTCATCACATGTTTTATTCTCATGCATATTAAGAAATATCAACAACGAAGCAAAAAAGATAGAAGGAGAGATGAATAGATAGATAGATAGATAGATAGATAGATAGATAGATAGAGAGAGAGAGAGAGAGAGAGAGAGAGAGAGAGAGAGAGAGAGAGAGAGAGAGAGAGAGAGAAGGAAGAAAAAAGAAAGAGGAGATAGAGACAGAAAGAGAGTCAGTATAATGCATACAATCAAGGGGTGTATGGTAATCATTGAAGAGAAAGAGTGGTAACATGGTCGAATGGAGAGTGATTCAATGGTTGAATGGTATGGTATGCGCACCTCTTCCTGTCTCTTAAGCTTCCGCACCTGAGCAAGTGGCCAGTATCACCCCTGCGTCCTCCGCCGCCGCCCATTCCGCCTCTGGCACCGGCCTGCCATGGGCTGTCCTCGTAACGATACGTCTTTGATCTGATTAGGGGTGCGCAACTGCAGGAGAGCTTGTTGCCCATTCTAACTGCTCTTATTCCGGCTTAGATCCCGCCACCTGCCTGCCCCGCCGCCACCACCACCACCACCACCACCGTTCTGCCTGCGTCACCACCACCCTCGTGATGCCCGTTCGTGTTTCCGGCTCGACACGCCTTAGCACGTATCCGCCCGTTCTGTCCTCCCCGTTCCTCAAGATATCCGACCTGATCCTTCTCGCTGCGTCTATATATTTTTCCCTTTCTCTATCTCTCAATTTTACCCCCTTCGGTTCCTCTTTGACACACTTTCGTGGGGCTGGCTTGCCTCTGTCGACTTTTGGCACCGATTTCCACGACGCCGACCACGGTCGGTGGTTTGACGTTGCTTTTTTTTGCGCGGTTTGTTCCTTGAATTGTGTGTATTATTGGGAAGCACTGTATGTAATAGAGACAATCCCAAAGTTATCAGAGAGTGGAAGGAGGTATCTTTATTGTCACATCATTGCAGACATCGATAGTCATCAGCTTGTCCCTGGCATGATTACTGTAAACAGACGCAAATCGATTAGCCGTGAGAAAAGTGCATTTCGAACAACATCATTCGTAAACTATTTATTTTCGTATGCAAGAGAATTATTTGTCAATTATAGAATATTATTTTAGAATATTATTTTTTTTTATATAGTATTAATTTTTTATTATATACAATATGATATTTATTTTAATAAAATTATTATAATAAAATAAATACGTATTATTCGATTTTATATATATTTTATTGTATTTATGGTATTGTGTATTTATGGTATTATTCTATCAAATCAATAATGTATATTGTATACATATAGTGCTTCTCACACTTTTTACCTTTATTAAAAAATAATGATTAGCTAAACTAAAAATTAAATTGTAATATATTCATGAATGTAATAAATAATCGCATACAGCTCTTTGTTATTATTCTAATTATTAATTCATTTACGATATACTTTATAGTTATAATTTAACTTATTATTGCATGTTTTATGACATAAAACAATAAGTAATAAACAAATTTTCAAACTAATGTAAAATTATACTAATAGTAATATATTATGTATTTTAATTTCTTGTTTTAAGTAGTATAACTGACGTTATAATCAGACTGACGATCACTTTCCTTTTTCTTACACATAATTCAATTTTTCACTAATTATTTACAAAAATGCAGCTTATTATTTAATAAGTAATATTTATATGCGTATTTAAAGTAACAAATAATTTCAAATCTTTGTAAATATTTAATTAATCGCATTTAAGTAATATGTCTGACTTTGGTCAGACATAAACGGAAATTATTCATCGATTAAAAAATTATATTCATCAGAAGTATTGTTTCCAATGAAATAGAATAGTAATTTCAAAAATTATTAGTTAAAATTATAAACTTTCGTTTAGTTCAATACGTAAATAGATGAGTTTTTAAATACAGCTGACCACACAGATGTCTTAATCACTTAGAAATCAGACTTCGCCAATTCAATTTACATAAGTTGCAAATTTGTTCTCAAGTTTATTAACATATTAGCAATATTGAATTTTTCAATAAACTAATTTATAACACCATGAATATCTATCAGCTTTAGAGATGCGTCGGGGATCAATTAAACTTCGGTAAACTAAACCCATCTCGGCAAACTTTAGAAAGGATGCAAGCTACCACTCGCCGTATTCATCCAGGCTAAAATTTCTCCATGTTAAATAACTTTAGCAACGTTCGCTCGGCTAGTTTTTTTTCATTTTCTCGCATATCGTTCACGTTTTCTTGCGATGTATACATTCGCGACATGCCATCGATTATAGCGAGCACGATTTCATCGTAGCATTTGACCGTAATCGTCAACGTCAGAGGGGAGGTCAACAACGCGAGGCATTGTACAGATGTGTATCGCGGATAATAAAAGGGTAGCGCCACTGGAGGGTTACTGAACCGCTCTTGTCGGCCACGCAATACATCATTTCTTCCGGGGATGCTCTCGACAATGCCGAAGTATCCTGGGCTCTCGCAACGCTCATCTCGCAACATCCATCACGAAAGGATAGGGAATCCTTTGGATCCTCTGGATCCTCTGAAGCCGGATTAAAACATTCCTATTAAAGATATCAGTATAGTTGACAATTATTTTCAACCGTGTTCTATATAGATACAAAAATGGCACGCGAATGATCATTCCAGTCGTTAAAGATACATCTAGCGATCATTCATCATTATAATATTAATTTTTTTGATAATTTTGAATATCAATAGTTTCTAATAATTGTTGCTTTTTAACTCTCTAAGGAATGAATCTATAAATGTTGCAAATTTACAACGTTCACTTTAAAATTTAATTCGGGATAAATTTGGGATAAATTCGAGATCTGTGCAAATTAAATCCGTGCAAATTAGTTATATTTAAGTACAGACGATGGAAAATGTAGTATTGAACATTGAAACATGGTACTTTTACCCGCCAATTGAAAGTGTACTCGATATATATTAATAGTGTAAATATCGATAGATTCTTTACTTATTGCAAATCATTTTTTAACAAAAGTAGTTTTTAAAAAATTGTTTTTTCTTTAATTACAAGCTAATGATGTCCTTAAAAGATTAACAATGAACAATATTCTATGAATAGTGGATGCTACTCCATACAGTACAGAATTACAAATAACATCTTCAAGATTTTCAAAAGACGTCTCGACATCCTAAAAATCGATGATTTCAAAATATCCTTCGAATAAAGTATGCTATGTAAATACGGATTATTATCATCATATGTTAAATAAAATAGATTAGATAGATATAGTCTTTTTTCCATTAATTGGTCATCCACCTCTACAACCAACCAGACCCGATAAACTCGACACATTGTTTCCGCCTGGGGAGCCGAGCCGAAGGCGGAAAATTATTTTTAGACCGTCGGTTGTCGTTACCTAAGCTTTTTACATCATCGGACCTCCGTCTGGGCAAAAGCGCGGATTCACGCGCGACGCGTGTATGCCGCTTAATTGAACGAGAGACCCGCGATTAGAGAGAGGATAAATGTCAAACGGTGCGTGCACTCATGACCACCGGGTTTCAAAGGATTAATTACGGAGACGGCGGAAAATCGCGGTTGTGTTTGCCGTCTACAAAAATCACAACACTGCCACCACGTCGTCGTGGTAACCGGCACGCATGAACGGATCAAAAACGATATCGGAATGTATAGAGAGGAGGAGATTGAAGAATTCTGAATCACCAGCGATTCGTCTGATAAATACGCGTGGGCGTAGTATCGAATGAAGGTATGGTGGTAAGAAACCTTAGTTGAGCCTGGGGGTTCCCTCGTTACACGAAAGTCGGAAGGTATATGTATCGTCCACGTAAACGTGAGTGTGAAGGTAGAAAGAGGGAGAGAGAAAGAGAGCTCTCTAAACACTATATCGATTTCGGTGGCGATGCGGTTATACGTCGTCCGTGACTAAACATGAATGGTGGGTGCACGTTCGTGCTTCCTGTTCGCGTGAAGCCGGATCTCCATACCATTGTGTGTCCAGGTAAGCCAGAAGATTACTCGTTTTTATTTTGTTCATCCGCGTTTGACTGGTAGACATACTCGCTACAATTAAATTCATAAACTTTTAATAGGAAAGGAAATATATAAAATAGAATATTAATAAAAGAATAGAAAATAATTGAATATTATAAAATATTAATATTAATAAAAAAATTAAGCTATTAATATAGATGCGATGATCTAAAATAATTTCAGAAAGTTCAAATACTATAAGATATGCGTAAGATATAAATACATGAGACGTAATCGCATAAATAAATTTTATTATTCGTTACGCTACAATGTCTAAGTCTTTTTTTAGCACAAGCAAAATTTCATTCTTTTCTTAATAAAGGAGGATGGAGTCCAATTCTCCTCCCCCCTCCTACTAAAATACTTCGTAATAATTAGATAATGTAATTGAGATGTTGAAAAGTAACTCTGAATTTTTCCACATTTTTTGAAAGTAGAATAGTAAAAAACAGATAGTAAAAAAAACTTGAATTAATAAAAAAAGACTTAGATTGCAGATGAAAGATTAAGATTAGTCTGTGTAATAGAAGCGTTTCCATCAATTAAACACGGTTGATTAGAATGAAGATAAGCAATTGTTCCTCTCTTATTTACTCAGAATTTTGATAGACAATTTAATGCGAATGACGTGAGCGAAAAGAATTCATAGCGTGTCCGATTAAAGTCAATCATCCATTTCGAGAAATGTAGAATGAGTTATATACTTTCCTTTCTAGAATTTTACAAGAGAGAGAAGGATTACTACTTGGATAGCCTTTTATGATTGTTATTATGATAGTTATCGATTCATATAGCGAATATTTGCACGTGTTCAAATAGCAAAGTCTTTCGGGATCAGAAATGTTTCTATCTATAGCGATTTAATTAAATTAGAATACGTGAAATTATCAAACGCGTTTCTTTCAAAACATATTTATAATTTTCAAGTATATTCACAATTGAAAATTCATAGTCAATTTAAAAAAAATATATATTTACTTCTAAGCATAAAAAAAAACAAAGATTATATATTTTAATATAGATTCAGGATTAAAATTATTTTGGCATATATTTGTACAGAAAGAACGGTTGTGTTAAAGTATCTAAAAATTTAGCCAAATACAGATTTCAGAATAATTTTATTGAATCAAAATAATTAGTAGGATTGTCAAATATAATGAGCAATGTTGCAAAAAATTTTGACATTCTAGCTTGAGAGGCCTATACATTGTTTTGATTGTTGCAACAACGTCATTTTCAGACCAGTATTTAGCTAAAATTTTTAGATGTTTTAGCAAAATTATTCTTTCAATCATTAATCGTTATTAACAATCATTATTTAACATACCATATTCACTGATATTCTTTCCTCTCTCTCTCTCTCTCTCTCTCTCTCTCTCTCTCTCTCTCTCTTTTCTATAAAAAGTGGGGATATTCTTAAAACTGAATATTCTCGTCACTATACTAAAACGCAATATAGGATCACAAGAAGGTCATGAAGAATTTATGCACTTCCTCCACGACGCACGAAAAAGAAAATCAAGAGTAGAGCCAACGCCTTGACGACCCTTCGTAAGTTTTATCGACTCATGACTTTATCCATGAACGTGTTATGTGAACCGAGAATCTTTACAAATAACTGTAGAAAAGACGATCTAGCGAAACACATCATGACACTCAATAAAGTTTGAAAACATCAAAAGATTAGGCATTTCCACTGATATTTACATTCGTCTTCGAAGTGTCTCGCGATACGGACCGGAATCTTCACCAAATCAAATGAGACTTCTCACAAATATGTTACAGAGAAGATCACAGAGGTTTCACGTCGTTTCTTGTTATAGGAGCGCGGACGAAGAAGCGACGCGAGGTGAGCCAACGCCTTTGTATTTAGCCTCGTTATCGACTCGCAGAACCTGATACCTGGAACGTGTC